AATTCTACGCCCCTGGACGCGTCAAACATGGCCGATGTCGAGATGAGTGTGCGTGCTTATTCCCTTACTCGGTGGATTGCAGTGCGCCGCCGACCACGCGCCACTGCGTCTGTATTTTGCGTCGACGCTAATTGCGTTCATTCCCCCTGGCAGGCGGACAACGACAACGACTGGGTGCGCGTGACAAGCGACGACGGGTACTCGTTCCTCGTGCGCCGGTGCGTCGCCAACGCGAGCGAGACGATGCGCGATATGCTGGACACTGCCGGTCCGCTTGCCTTGTTCAATTGATTTAGAGTTGCGCTTAGTGGAGAAAATTGACGTGGGCAGGTAATTACGCGGAGGCGAAGGCAAGGACGTGTCCGGTGCATCAGCGGTGCGTCTCCTTTACGCTGAATCGCCGGTAACTGACGCACAACGCGCACGCCCAGAGCTCTGATCGTGGAAAAACTGCTCGAGTACATGAGCTTCAAGGCGCACTACGAGGCGGCCAGCGTGGCGAAGGACGAGGTGCCCGTGCACGAGTTTATGGAGCGCATCCCGCCGGAGATCGTGCTAGAGCTGTGAGTGGGGATTTTCTTGTGCTTTCTGTTTCCTTTCGTCGTATCCTTCCGGGAAAGTTCCGCGCCCTCTCGCGCACACCGTTCTCTACGATTCCCCTCCCATCACCGTTCCCCGCGCATCCTTCCTTTCTTTTCGTGAGCACAAACCGCCCCCGCTGACCCACACCCCACAGTCTCCTCGCCGCCGATTACCAGAACATGTAGACTCTTCCGTCAAATACCAGAACAGTGAGTCTCTGGCTATCGCTATCGAGAGTGTGTAATACGAGCTGATGCGCGCGCTAGTGTGAACTCCGACCTTGGTAGACTAAACGATAGACGGGGAGCGAAGACAAGACGCTGCGGGAAAGGTTGGGGACACAGGCTCACGAGAAGGAGAAGGAGACCATCTTGGAGGGGCGCGTCACGGTGGCGCGCAGTGTAACAAAACAGCGTATGTACGACGCGCACATCTGTATTATATACTTGTTTTGCCATATCTTGATTATTTTTTGAATCCCTGTCTACACGACATGCGGGATGGCATTGCACAAGATTGGCACAGGGACACCTCGCATTCACTTCAGATACATCTAGTACATTTTCTTTCTACATTTATTCATCTACCTTCTTTTCTTCGCATTCCTCTTTCCCTCTTCCCTACGCGGAATAATACTCCGGCAACACATACGCCAGCTCCTTATTCTTGATCGCGCTAGGCGGCGCCATCAGCGCAAACTGCATCCCGCCGACCTCCTCGTCCAGGAGCGACTTCTCGCCGGCGGGAGTGGCGGCGTGCGCGGCGAGGAGGCGCTCGATGACGTGCGCGGCGACGTGGCGCGAGGTGTCGGCGTTCTTGCGCAGGATGGCGAACACCTCCGCGGCGGTGACGCCTGCCTCGTGCGCGCGCCAGGCGTCGTAGTCGGTTGCGGTGGCGATGAGGGCGAAGCTGTTGGGATGAGCGCAAATAATAAGTAAGAGAAGGGAGAGAGGAGGGAAATAAGACGAACCCAATCTCTGCCTCGCGCGCGAGCTTGGCCTCGGGGAGGGCAGTCATGCCGATGAGGTGGCCGCCCCACTGCTGGTACATGCGGCTCTCCGCGCGCGTCGAGAACTGCGGGCCCTCGATCACCACGAGCGTCCCCCCGCTCCCGTCCTCCGCCTCCCACAGCTTCGTCCCGCTCCCCTCCGCTGCCAGCGCCTCCTTCACCGCGCCCTTGAGCCATTTAGCGAGACCCGGCGCGTACGGGTCGCTGAAGCCCGCGTGCGCGACGACGCCCGTGCCGTCGAAGAACGAGGTGGGGCGGCCGCCCTTGGTGCGGTCGATGAGCTGGGAGGGGAGCGCGAAATCGCCCGGGCGGAAGGCCTCGAGGAGGGAGCCGACGGCGGAGAAGGCGAGGATGGTGCGCACGCCGAGGGACTTGAGGGCGGCGATGTTGGCGCGCGCGGGGATCGACGAGGGGGGGATGGTGTGCGTGCTGCCGTGGCGCGCGAGGAAGGCGACGAGCGCGCCGGAGGGGAGGGCACAGATCGTGATTGGGGAAGACGGGAGGCCCCAGGGCTGTGGGCGCTATTTAAGGCTTGGTGCAAGGGAGAGGAAGGCTCGGCTCACGGTCTCGGGGTTGACCTCCTTGACAAAGGTGAGGTTGCCCAGGTTGTACAGCCCGCTGCCGCCGATGACCCCTACCAGAACTGCGAACCGTCAGCGTCGTTCGCTCGAGTGGAGGACGCGGGCACAAACCTTTATCGGTCGACATCGTGGTAGTAGTACGAGGAAGAAAGATGCGCCGCACGTGGGTCGCGAAAAAAAAAGATGGGGGCTTGATCTCAGACGCGATGGGAAGGATAGGACAGCAAATCGATACACATCGCCGAATACAAAAAAGGTATCCTAACGAAGAAAAAGATGTAGGGCACCCCGACCCCCCCACGCGCGCTCCCGCCTAAGCACCAGCTCATGGGCGCCCGCCGAAGCGGCGCCTCGCCAACACAGGGCCTTCAACACGCACACAGGGGAGCAGGGCGGCCCCGACGCATCGTGCGCGCCGGCCGACAGTCTAGAGGACGGGAACGCGGACGGGGAGGCGGAAGTGCTTATACCGGGTCCGAACTTTTATCTGCACGAAAAGTCAGCGAGAGGACGAAAGAGGGAGGAGGAGAGGGCACGTACGTCCTCATGGTTTGTTCGTGGTTTTGCAGGCGAAAATTGCTGCCTTTTATATGATGCAGGTGCTGAGTCAGCGTTCGCACGCCCTGGGCACGTGCGAGTTGAGGTTGAATTTGGGCTAAGTCAATTTAGCTCATTGCGCTGTGGGTGAACTGAAATCCTAGGTTTATTGAGGGTAGATGCAGGTATAACAACGGCTCGGTGGTGGATGGTCCACGTCCGCGGTGAATGGCCAAGGACATCGCTGTCAAGCAGAAGCAGCCCGTTCGATTCGGGCCCGAGTTATGTAGTGAATTTATAGTGTTTTGTCCCATCGCCAATCCAAATGAACAGAGGGCAGTTAAGAGTATAATAACGGCTCGGTGGTGGATGGTCCACGTCTGCATTAAATTGGCCTCAACAAAAAAACTCGAGCAGAAGCAGCCTGTTCGATTCGGGCCCGAGCCATGCCATGTTCGTCTTTTCGACTTTTTTTTTGCCCTAGCCTCCGGTTCAAATAATATTGTCATGAAGAGAGCGTAGGAACGAGCATAAGAACGGCTCGGTGGTGGATGGCCACGTCTGTATTCAATGAACGGTCGGACATTGCTTTCAAGCAGAACCAGCCCGTTCGATTCGGGTCCGAGCCATATTGTTTCTAGCTATTTTTTGTCCCAATAACCAATCAAAAGATATTGCTATGAACAGAGGACAGGCTGACAGCTACGAGAATAAGGACGGCTCGGTGGTGGATGATCCACATCTGTGTTGAATGAATTTAGACTTCAACACCGAGCAGAAGCAGCCCGTTCGATTCGGGCGCGAGCCTTACCTTGGGAGTTTCACGACATTTTTGTCCCATTAACCAATTTGAAAAAAATCACTATAGACAGAGGGTAGCTTTAAGCCTAAGAACGGGTCGGTGGTGGATGGTCCACATCTGCATTAAGTCATTGGTCGCATAGAAAAAAGTGCAAGCAGAAGCAGCCCGTTCGATTCGGGCCCGAGCCATGGATGTTTTGCGTTAATCCTTTTTGTCCCAGCCTCCGATTCAAAAATATTGGTATGAACAGAGGCAAGCTACGAGTATAGTACCGGCTCGGTGGTGGGTGGTCCACGTCTGCACTGAATGTGGGTAATTGTTGGAAGTTCAAGTAGAAACAACCCGTTCGATTCGGGCCCGAGCCATATAGCTGTCATCACGTTTTTGGCCTGGTCACCAATTCGAAAAAATATTACTATGAATAGAGGGTTGAAAAGAGTGTAAGGACGGCTCGCTAGTGGGTCCACATCTGTATTGAATGAAAGTACTGCAGAAATTAAGCAGAAACAGCCCGTTCGATTCGGGCCGAGCCATGGATGTCTTTTGAAAACGTTTTCGTCCCAGTAACCGATTCAAATAATATCGCTATGAACAAAGAGGAGATATGAGCATAGGAACGGCTCGGTGGTGGATGGTTCACATCTGCATTTAATTGAATTGATTACGGAGAAAAAAAATGCAAGCAGAAACAGCCCGTTCGATTCGGGCCCGAGCCTTGGCTTTGGGACTGTTCACGACCTTTTTGTCCCAGCCTCTGATTCAAAAACATTGTCATGAAGAGAATACAGTTGCAGGCATAAAAACGGCTCGGTGGTGGATGGTCCACGTCTGTATTGAATGACTCAGGGCCCAGGAATTCAAGCAGAAGTACCCTGTTCGATTCGGGCGTGAGCCATAGTAGTTTCTTGCGCAAACATTTTTTTGCCCTAAAAACATTGCTACGAACAGAGGGAAGTTACGAGCACAGGACCGGCTCGGTGGTGGATGGTCCACATCTGCATTGAATTCCACGTCCGTTAGACAAGTTCGAGCAGAAGCACCCGTTCGATTGGGGCCCGAGCCATGTAAGGAGTTCACAGCATTTTTGCTGAATCACGTTGAAAAATATTACTACAAGCATAGGGTAGCTACGAGCATGAGAACGGCTCGGTGTTGGATGGTCCCCGTCTGCACTGAATATTAAATTTCGAAGTTCACGCAGAAGAAGCCCGTTCGATTCGAGTCCGAGCCATAGCATTTAAAAGACGTTTTTTTGCCCCAATCGCCAATTCAAAATTAATATTGGCCCAAACAGAGGGTAGGTACGAGCATAATAACGGCTCGGTGGTGGATGGTCCACATCTGCATTGAATGAGGAGACAAGAAAATTTGAGCAGAAGCACCCCGTTCGATTCGGGCCGGAGCCATTGATTATAGCGAGGATATTTTTTGTCCCAGTCACCGATTCAAAATATTGCTATGAACACAAGCCAGCTACGAGCATAAGAATGGCTCGGTAGTGGATGGTTCACATCTGTATTGAATTCAAAGGCCCGAAAAAAATCGAGTAGAAGCCGCCCGTTCGATTCGGGCCTGAGCCATGGATGTTTTGCGTTAATCCTTTTTGTCCCAGCCTCCGATTCAAAAATATTGCTATGAACAGAAGACAGCTAGCAAGCCCAAGAACGGCTCGGTGGTGGATGTCCACATCTGCATTAAGTAACGGACGCAACCAAAAAAGCCAAGCAGAAGCAGCCCGTTCGATTCGGGCCCGAGCCATTGAGGGGATCGTAGCGTTTTGTCCCAGTCGCTGATTCACAAATATTGCTGTAAACGGAAGGTAGCTTTAAGACTAAGAATTACTCGATGGTGGATGGTTAACGTCTGCACTGAATGTTGGATATTATTGGAAGTTCAAATAGAAACAACCCGTTCAATTCGGGGCTGAGCCATGGAGACGAAGACAAGTTTTTTGGCCCAGTCACGGATTCAAAATATTGCTATGAAGAGAAGACAGTTACGAGCATAAGAACGGCTCGGTGGTGGATGGTCCACGTCTGCACTGAATGTTGAAAATTGCCAGGAAGTTCAAGTAGAAACAACCCGTTCGATTCGGGCCCGAGCCATATAGCTACCGTAATGTTTTTGCCCTGGTCACCGATTCGAAAAAATATTACTATGAAAAGATGGAGCCTACGAGCATAAAAACGGCTCGGTGGTGGATGGTCCACGTCTGTATTGAATGACTAAGAGCCCAGGAACTCAAGCAGAAGCAGCCCGTTCGATTCGGGCCTGAGCCATTGTAGATTCTTGCACAAACATTTTTTTTTGCCCTAGTCTCCGGTTCAAAATATTGCTACGAACAGAGGGAAGTTACGAGAACAGGACTGGCTCTGGATGGTCCACATCTGCATGGAATTAGGAGACAAGAAAATTCGAGCAGAAGCACCCCGTTCGATTCGGGCCCGAGCCATGTGCTTTGCCGTAGTCCTTTTTGTCCCAGCCTCCGATTCAAAAATATTGCTATGAATCAAGGGTCGCTGAGAGGATAATAATGGCTCGGTAGTGGATGGTCCACATCTGCACTGAATGTTGAAAATTGCTCGGAAGTTCAAGTAGAACCCCCCGTTCGATTCGGGCCCGAGCCATATAACTACCGTAACGTTTTTGCCCTGGTCACCAATTCGGGAAAATATTACTATGAAAAGATGGCGCCTACGAGCATAGGAACGGCTCGGTGGTGGATGGTCCGCGTCTGTATTGAATGACTCAGGGCCCAGGAATTCAAGCAGAAGCAGCCCGTTGATTCGGGCCTGAGCCATAGGAGTTTCTTGCGCAAACATTTTTTTTGCCCTAACCTCCGGTTCAAAAATATTGCTACGAGCAGAGGAAGATTACGAGCACAGGACCGGCTCGGTGGTGGATGGTCCACATCTGCATTAAATTCCACGTCCGTTAGACAAGTTCGAGCAGAAGCAGCCCGTTCGATTGGGGCCCGAGCCATGTAAGGAGTTCACAGTATTTTTGTCTGAATTACGCTAAAAAATATCACTACAAGCATAGGGTAGCCACGTGCATAAGAACGGCTCGGTGGTGGGTGTTCCACGTCTGCACTGAATATTGAAGATGGTTCGAAGTTCACGCAGAAGCAGCACGTTCGATTCGAGTCCGAGCCATAGCATTTGAAAGACGTTTTTTTGCCCCAATCGCCAATTCAAAATTAATATTGGCCCAAAAGGGTAAGTACGAGCATAATAACGGCTCGGTGGTAGATGGTCCATATCTGCATTGAATTAGGAGACAAGAAAATTTGAGCAGAAGCACCCCGTTCGATTCGGGCCGGAGCCATTGATTATAGCGAGGATATTTTTTGTCCCAGTCACCGATTCAAAATATTGCTATGAATACAAGCCAGCTACGAGCATAAGAATGGCTCGGTAGTGGATGGTTCACATCTGTATTGAATTCGAAGGCCCAAAAAAAATCGAGCAGAAGCCGCCCGTTCGATTCGGGCCTGAGCCATATGCTTTGGAGAGACATTTTTGTCGCTGTCACCGATTAAAAAAATATTGCTATGAATAGAGGGTAGCTACGAGCACAAGAACGGCTCGGTGGTGGATGGTCCGCATCTGTATTAAATGGCGCTGGCTATCTTGAAACAATATCGAGCAGAAGCAGTCCGTTCGATTCGGGCCCGAGCCATGGAGGCGTTGCGTAGATGTTTTTGTCCCAGTAAACGATTCAAATAAAATTGTTTCAGACAAAGGGTAGCTACAAGCATAAGAACGGCTCGGTGGTGGATGGTCAGCATCTGTATTAAATGGTGCTGGCTATCTTGAAACAATATTGAGCAGAAGCAGTCCGTTCGATTGGGGCCCGAGCCATGGAGGCGTTGCGTAGATGTTTTTGTCCCAGTAAACGATTCAAATAAAATTGCTTCAGACAAAGGGTAGCTCCAAGCCTAAGAACGGCTCGGTGGTGGATGATCCGTTTCTGCATTAAATGACGAAGGCATCTAGATTTCGAGCAGAAGCAGCCCGTTCGATTCGGGCCCGAGCCTTGGCATGGTGACCACATTTTTGTCCCAGGTCACCAATTCCAAAAAACATGGTCATGGAGGGAGGACAGTTCCGAGCATAAGAATAAGAAAGGCTCAGTACTGGATGTTCCACGTTTGTACTGATTATAATAACAAGAAGATTAGAGCTGCCCGTTCGATTCGGGAGATGAAAGTTTTTGTCCCAAACACCTATTCAAAAAAAATATTGCATGGGCAGAGGGTAGGAACGAGCATAGGCACGGCTCGCTGGTTGGGCTACGTCTGTGTTGAATAATATGGCCTCCAAAAATCGAGCAGAAGCTACCCGTTCGATCCGGGCCCGAGCCATGGGACTTTTTGTCCCCATCACCAATGCAAAAATATTGTTACAAGCAGAGTGCAGTTACGAGTATAATAACGGCTCGGTGGTGGATGGTCCACGTTAAATTTGTCTAGACATGTGAATTCGAGCAGAAGCCCCCGTTCGATTCGGGCCCGAGCCTTGGCCTTGGGAGTGTTCACGACCTTTTTGTCCCAATCGCAGATTCAAAAATATCGCTATGAACACAAGCCAGCTGCAAGGCCAAGAACGCTTCGGCGGCGGACCGCCCACGCCTGCATTGAACAAGTATTCACAAGCTCAAAAAATATTAAGCAGAAGCCCCCGTTCGATTCGGGCCCGAGCCATCCGTTCGCCATGTCGGAGTTTTTGCCCAATCACCAATTGAAAAAATATCGTCATGAACACAGGGTAGGAAAAAGCAGCAAAGCTCGGTGGTGGATGGTCCACATCTGCATTGAATTCTCGTGAAAACCAGAAAATTCGAGCAGAAGCAGCCCGTTCGATTCGGGCCCGAGCCATTAGTCGTCACGATAATGTTTTTGTCTCCATCATCGATTGAAAACGGCAAATACATACAGTGCAGAGTCAATCGCGGTGTACAGCATGTGCGACAGTTATATTTATCGTTCATGCTCTTGTTCCGTATCAGGGACCTCGGCATCCACTGTCTCGATATCAGGCAGAGGAAATCTACGAAGCTGTTGTGTCTCACCGTGGGCAAAGAGTACTTCCATAATATCATCGGATATCCGGTACAATGGATAGTCCATGTGCCGTACAAGGTCCTGGCTGTCTGGATCAAACCCCTTTGCCTCGTGGAACTTGCGCACTGCGGCGTAAACACTATCATCCCACGAACGTATGTACACTTGCCTCGCCCAATATATGGACGGGAAACCAAGACGAGTCGCTTGAGCCGTTGTGAGACTGCGAGCACCGGAGGGATCGAGTGACCAGTACGCTCGACGGTCTGGCCACCGGAATGACGTTGGTCCAGATTGACGATCTGACACAAATAGATAACCTGGCGGAGGGTCTTTCGTTGGTGCTGAAATCCCGAGCTCGCAGTTAATGATGTAGACAAGTGCTGGTGCCCCAGATTAATGGCAGTGTCCAATGAATGACCACTCGGACACGCACCATAGTCTTCGTAGTTCGACGTGATTTGGAGACGATGAAAAATGTGATTCGCCTGACACAGCCAAGAATCCGGCTCTTCCAGTGCCACAGGAAAATCGAGAATAGTGTCGTATACATCACACGCATTGTACCTTCGCCATCGAACATCGTCAGCTCAATTCATTGTCCAGGCATGAAGAGAATACCGGATCCAGCCATCCCTGATGATTTCTCCCTGCACTTTTGTGACACAGGGAAGAGCATATGTATCCGCATAGGGCATTGATGCAATTTCAATTCCCTCGAGTTGAGAGCCCATGGGATAGTATATTACTGCCCCCAGATCCAGCTCTGCCTCTGCAACGAGCGTCGGTGGGATCGAGTGATACATGCGCTCGTGGAATTGATGTGGGCCCAGGGAGTGAATTACCGCAGCCTCGGAGTTCGGATGATCGAGGGGTACAATGGTATCAAGTCTCGATCTCTCCCGCCGCTGAGAAATAATGACAGGCATCTCGGGGAGATCGCTGGGTGTGAGGTCTAGGCAGAGCTGGCCGGTGGATCGGCGAATCCAATCGGTCCGTCGAGTTTCCAACTTCAACCTGCGATGAGGGATATGGGGGCGTGAGGATTTAATAAGCGACTCACAAATGATCGCTGAAACGTTTCTTCAAAATATTGGTTTGCATCCTGCGGGAGAATTAGGGCTGCGCAAAAAGGGACGCTTCCTTACCCAGAACTCTGTTTCCTCAGGGGAACTCAATTCCCGCACGTAAAATCGGAGGAAAGAGGACATACAGTGCGCCCAACAATATATATGTTCAATAAACGTGAGTGCTGATATTGTTCCACGAATTCATAATAGGGAATGAGATCTAGCTCAAGAGTCAAAACCTATTTCCCGGGTCACACGAAAACCAGAAGAAGAACGAACCATCATGGGCTATAATACCACGAATAGTGGCCGAAACTGCTATGGCGAAAATTTGAAGAAAGTTGGGATGCCTAGCACTCGAGGTTACGCGACTAGTCATCGAACGAGTATCTCGGGGGCTCACCGAAGTCCTGAATATCGTGAAAGATCCCGCCGCCATTCCTACGAGACGCAATGAAGGCACAATTCAGGGGCAAATCAAGGGTAGCACACCTTTTCCGCTTTTTGCCCCTGGTACAGAGCGACAGTCATATCAGAGTTTCTGCCATCGATTCTGCCCGAGTAGATCCGCCGCACAGACCCTCGTACCGGGCGATGATGAACGACACCCAAAGGGCTGCTGAGCCGTATCTCCCTCCTCAAATCAATATCTCCCAGTGGGATCCGCCGAAAATCTACCGCCCGAGCGTTGAATCTATCTGCCGGGCACGGATCTGGTAAATACAATACTTACCGTCAGGGAGATCCGCGTTAGAGGTGTAGTTTGTGACATGGCTCGTGAACACACCGCCATTGACGACGATGTGCTGTGAGTTGGGGAAGAAGGCGCCCGCGTACCTGGATTAAGCGCCGTGAGGATGCGACCAACCCAGGGGCCAACTCGATGCAGGTGCTTACGGGGTAGATCCCGAATTGTTTATGGTCGATGTTGACCTGAATTTTGGATCCGAGCGAGTCTCATCGTCCATCGACGGTCACGGTGGTCGTAAGTTGGTTGTAATACTAAGAGGAGAAGAGATAGGCGGCCTGCCGTGTCTCTTTACGGCATTTTTGCTCACCGAGAATTGTTGCCATGCCGACTCGGTGCGCCCGCCAAAGCGCACCGGGTGATGTCGGGATGAAGGACGGAAGCCCGAAAAGCCGCCGGCCGAGGATCCTGAGGGCGATTCAAAGTTCGATTTTGATCTCTCTGACATCTTTGCTCACACCCAACTCCACTTCGCTGGTACCTTCAACACCAACATCACAGCAACATCACCCTCGTCCGCACGTTCGACAATCTCCGTTTTTTACATTGAAGCATTCATCACGCTCCAGAGAATCTCACATGTCCTCGGCCGAATTGCCCGTCCGCGCGCGCGACTCGACGAAATTGACGCCCTCGGGTCACAATAAATTGCTGCGCCTGCGGGCAGGTAGCGATGGCCTCCATGTGATTATATCCTGTACTCAGCCCATCCTAGCCTGCTCCCTAACTCGCGACCGAAATATTTCTGCAGTACGTGTCGATCCCGCGGTCGACCGCCGTGTGTTGTATAGCGAAAATTTGCACGGCTTAGCGTCCGTCGATTTGCGCGCTTTGAACGCTTCCAGATCTCACTCCTGGGATACTTACGCGCAGAGCGTAATTATTGAAAGAATCTCCTCCAATCCTGGGTTGCTTCCACGGCGTGCCCTTGGATATCACAGTTCGCGCCATCTGTGAGCTGAAGGGTTGGATATCGCAATTGAGACGCCACGCGATAGTACGCCATGATGGTGGGCCTCAAGTTCTTTTTCCTCTCTATTTATTCCGAAGTCCTTTTTTATCTTGGATCCGTTGCTGCATTCGATGAACTTGAGACCATTTTCAGGGTCCGAGGTGCGTTCCACGTGCTGCACCATTCATCTATCCTCCATACGCGTGCTGACGCTTATTCCTGTATCCACAGCGACTCCAACGAATAGTCGTAAACTCGGCGCACGACCATCATTTTTGCTATTTGAACGATGACGTCTGCCAGGCCTAACATTCAGTTCTGTTTTATCCACCTCATTGCGCTCTGGCCTTCTCTGTATTTTGGCTGTCACTCGCTTAACATCTCCTGGTGTCTCCCTATCACCTCGACCAACTATTCGAAGTCATTCACAAGCCATCAATCCTGGCTCAGGCTAAACCACGGCTCCATGGCGTTTCCGGCGCTTTGGTTCAACGGAGCCTGCCCGTTCTGCATTACCGCTGGAATTGGGGGCGATTCACACGAATCACATGGGCTTTTTTCCCACCTCTGAGGAATGATATTCAGCCGCGTCTCTTGCACAGGCTCCGTGCCAAGAGTCTGAATTTCCAGTAATTATGTCTTTCCGCTGAATCCTTCCTACCCGCATTTGTCCCACCGCTCTCCATTGCCTGGTGTCTGCTCCGTCCTCAGCTACTCCACCCTTGACAACTCACCCAAAGTCTCAATCATACCAAACCCCACTTGATCTCATTTTTCTGCTTTATTGCTGCTTTAAATATGTGTATTCTTAATCTGAGCCAGGCGCCGCACAACAGCCATGTGACTATGACTGATCCGGGCGATCGTCTACTGTAAGAGCGGGTTTTCCCTGTAATGTATGGAATGTAGCAGAAGAAAATTCAAGGAGATGCAGCTCGTTCGATTCGGGTTCGAGTCATGGTCGTTTGTGGCGATATTTTTATCCCAATCACCAAGTCGAAAATAATATTGGCATATACAGAGGGCAGCTTCGAGCATAGTAACGGCTCGGTGGTGGATGGTCCACATCTGCATTGAATTAGGAGACAAGAAAAATCGAGCAGAAGCTACCCGTTCGATTCGGGCCCGAGCCATTACTCGTTTGAAAATATCCCGATAGAGGAAGGTGTGGAATTTCGGCTCCAGTCGGAATGTTCCAAGCGAGGAGGGGATTACAATAGATCGGGTTACAAACCAGTGAGTCTTGTACCATAGGTGAGCTACCTTTTATATATGTGTAGCTAAATCAAATAGATAAGGAATATCAAATAAGACAGTCAACATGAGTCAGACTATGAAATATAATAATGTGAAGGCATGGTAACAGATAACGAACCGCATGGTCAAGCTTGTACTTCCAACAAGAAACTGAATAGCTAAGCCTGTCCCTGAATTCTCTTGCATAAATCCATCCAGGATATAGCATCAGGCCACGAGAGGGAGGCGAGTCGGCCGAGACTGGCGAGCGGGCCACTTCTGAATTTATTTATCAAATTCATTCTAGTATATGAAGCCAGGTCCAGAATGAGGTACCAGGGAGTGCCCGGAGGGCCTTTGTATAATTCACTCAAGAGTCAAGATGCAAGAAATGCTGTAAGCTGAGTGCAAAAAAAAAAAAAAAAAAAAAAGAACAAAACTGTGAATAAATACACTGCAACTGCATTTTTGCACACTATATCGAAGTACTAACACCAGCTACCCATTCGTAACACCTAAATCTGATCAACACCGCTCTCGGTGGCATCCGCATCTTCACCTAACGCGCTTCTAGTTAGTATACATATCCAGTACATATTGTGGATGAAACTCACTCGAACTGGACCACACCGTCGGGCCCTTTGATCCCTGTGGCCGGCGCGCGACCTGGAACTCCGTCCCAATTTCAGGATAATTATCCTCATCGGGGGCGGCGCGGTGATACTCCGTGCGCATGTTGAACAGTATGCGGGACGCAGCCATGACGGGGACTGTCACAGCCCACGCCGTACCGACCGTGAACAAATCGTAAGGAGCCAGCGCCCATATCAGCAAGTTGAAGAGGTTGACGCCGACGGTGCTGGGCGTGTGATATAAGTTTCTGGAAAATCATGTAGTGAGAAGGAGCAAGGGTACGAACCACGCGAAGTAGATGACGGAGTCGCGGAACATGATCCGCATGAGGCGCGCACCGGTCCAGGTCTTGTCGGACGTCGCGGATGTTTCCTCGCGCTGAATTAGGTATGCTTTATAGACGACCAGAATGAGCATGATCGTGTCGAAGGTCATCATCGGGACTCTGTATGCATTCCAATTTAAAATTCAAAAGCGAGTGAGTGAGCCGCAGCGTTGAGTGAAAAAGAACAGAGACGCGCACGGGTAAACAATGAGGAACTTCGGGATCGTCTCGACGCAGAGCGAAAGCGGGTCGACCAGGAACGGGATAGGTTGCACAGAAACTGCGTGTTTCCCATGAGCGTCGAGGGACCGAACGGGGAGTTCGGAACGAGGATGAAAGCGGCCACATACCGGTGTCTGTCACCAGTTTCGCAATCGCAATCCCCAGCTCGCTGCAGACCGCCATAACGAAGAGAAGCGTGACAATGATCTTCAGTGTACGATCTGGGGCCGGTTGAGCACCGTCCAACGTTCAACGTATAATATAGTGAAAGGATCTCACTTTGTCCGTACAGCGCATGCACACGGAGCTGCATGATGACTGAAGCAAAGCTTGTTGAGACCTAATTGGGGCATGAAGAAATGATGCAGACCAACCTTGCGCCCCTCCAATGCATACAATCGCTGCAGTTCATGCACGAGATTAGTTTAATGGGAGGACATCGAATTAAAGACTCATACGCACAGAGAATAATCCCAACAGTTTGCCCCGCGAAACCTAAACACAATCAACCTCTTTTCGGAACCAAAAATAGTAGGGAAGTTTCACATCTAAGACCTCGTCGTTAAATAACACGGAGGATGGGGGAAGACAACGCACAACGAGACTGTCGGAAGACGGTTGATTTCCGCTGTGGCTGGTTAGGTCCTGCGGAGCTAGGAGACGGATGCTACTGACAGAACGAAAGGTAGGCGATCACGGGGAAGATGAAGTACCGGTTCTAATGAGTGGTCGATACACATTATCAATATCATTGGTTGCAGGGGCTCACCCAGAAAAACAGGCCTTTCACAAAAGATCGGGGGGATCCCTATTGACCAGTGAGATTAAGGCACCAGTTTTACTAGTAGGATTGAAGCGTGGGCATACCCAGAAATATTCGACCTGGACAATACAGGGATAGGTATTGTTGGAGAGCAATAGTGCGAGAACGCACCTCCGCAGGAAAGGTCAACACTGCGAAGATGATTCGGCGTCAGAGTCGGGTTGTAGCTAGTGCATAGCGCTCACGGAAATCATAGACATATAGGCACAACGAGCTGACTGCAAAATTGAAATGCCTTGTATAAGCGCGCGCAGGGAAATAATGCAAGCTGCTTTACCGATGGTGTAGTGCGACACTGCGGTGTGCTCAAGAACGGTTTCGAGCTCTTTGAGGAGAGACTGGAAGTCTGACATTTTACGTCGTCAGCGGAGCGGCGGAATGATATTCAAGTCCATCATCCTTTATACCAGGGATCCGACGGAATGGCGGCGTTATTTAGACCTGATACACGGTCCTCTGTATGGTTCAGAGGGTTGTTTAGCGCGGGGCGTGAATCTCTTGATGCAAATGAGTTTGATCGACGTCGCAGAACCTCGGGAAGATCATGATGATCCTGTCAGAGTCCGAAGAACCAGGATGAATGCGGAATCTTGACTCTCAAAATTGATCACTAGCTGTTGGATTGCAGCCTGTGTCATTGGCGCCAGAACCGTAAACGAAGACGTCGCGAGGGAAAGGGAGACCCGGGCCGGGCCGGGCGGCCTGGGTCGACATTTCCAATTTTCTATTCAAGTTGAACCGGTCGACTTGCTGCAAACTTCAAAGCTTCATCCTTCTATATTGATGTTCGAACTTAACCCACGATGCAGTGCCTGAGAAAACCTCATATCATCGTCCTCGGCCTTCAGCCTGGGATCCGAAATCTCCTTCTGCCAGTGACGTGGGTTTTCCCGAGCCCGGGGCGGCATTGGATTGACCAATCCCTGCCTAGAACCAAATTAGCTGGCGGGCCTGCTCAAGCGCACTGCGGTACGATCTCGTATCCGCATGCTTATAATCTGATGGAGGGGCACCTCAGTGGCCCTCCGGGTGTCCTCCGTATCATTTGTGGGTACTGGCTCGTCTCGGATCCTGCGGCGAGGTTGGATCTATAATTGCTCCTTCTCCGAGTCCTCCGTCAATTGGGATCAAGTGATACTGTATCCTGAAGAATGTATCATTTATATTCATACCAACGGACCGACAGTCCCAGATTTTTCCGCCACAAGGAGGTGTTATCCACTTGTTACCACTGCTTTCCACCTGTTTCAGAACAGCATCTGAATCCAACGCATAGATCCGTGCTGTTTTCGCGATATCAAACCAGCGGGAGCCACTTTGGGGCCCCGTTAAACGCACCGTGCATCATGTTTGATTCGCTGCTGCGGCCGATGAGATGCATGAAAGGTGCGGTATTAGCGGCAAATCGCCACGATATGTACTCGGAATTCTGATAAGCACCCGGCGCAAAATGATCCCGGAGGACTGTCAAGCTCAAGAACAGTTCGCTGAGATTTCATGAAGAGGTGTACACAGGATGATCCTGATGTCCTCCTTGCTGTTCCAACATCTGAGTTCCGGGCCTTTATTTCTGCTGCGCCAGCTGACTCAGGGACAGGTGGAGATAGGTAGGCTTCTTATTGTATTTTTCCACTTTGCCAAATGGGTTTATTCTTTCTCTCCAGCAGTTGGTAAATAAAATTACGGGAAGAAAATCAGAGCCCTTGAAGAATTGTTTCGACTCTTGGATCAACCTTCTGTAATATTTGCATTGTTTCATCCTGTAAAAAAAAGGAAATTGACTCAGAGCAAGAGGGATGGAGAATGCGAGCAGAAACTTACCCACACACGCTTTTGTACAGCCATACCATCCACACTGAGTGAATATTCACTCTCCCTCTCGACTCTACAGTTGGCCAAGTATTTCCCATTTTGGGCTTGGCCTTCACAGTTGACAGCAGCATGAATAATTGTACGGCTCCCCATCTCTGGTGTGCGCGCAATAAAGGACATGACAACACCCTTTAAGTGCCGCATGACTGGGGAGGTCGTTGATTCAATGTCCAGATCTGAGTTGCAGAGCCCAGGTGACACAGAAACAATGGTTGGACCAGCATTTATATCGATGCGGTGTGCAAGCTCTCTGGAGAAAAATAGAACAAAGACTGAGATGAATTAGCTGCATTCCTATGAAGCAGACTGGTGCAAACACCTACGTTTGGACACAAAATACCGCTGTTCCATCACCGGCCTTTGCAACATTAGCATTAGGTGGACGGTCATGAAATTTGGCGACTTACTTTGAACAGTGCTGTCGTTCATTGAGTTTGGACAGAATTTCAGGACTGTCTGCTTCCTGAAGCTTTGGGATAAAGTAGTGTGCCTCGCTGCTTAACAAAATTACGCGAGGGATCAAAGTTGTTTCCTCGGAGCAGGACATGTGTGGCAGTAGCAGGATGGTGAGCAAAACATTGGACATATAATTGACTTGGAGCCTTTCAACTGTCCATTTAACTGCGACTAAGCCTGAAATGTCATTGACTCACATTCTCTCCCAATTGTCGTCGGTTGTGGCGAATTTTGAGGTCAGGATTGCAGCGTTTCCGACCAAAATATCGACACGGATCTTCTCATCTTCTATTCGGGTCGCGAATTCGCGAACTGAGGCGAAGGATCCGAGGTCCAGGGGCCAGCAGGTGACCGATCTGCATCCAGTAGCCGCTGCGATTTCTTTAGCAGCAGTATTTCCAGCCTCGACATTTCGGCATGCAAGTATCAACCGCTCCACATTCATCTCTGCAAAATGCTTTGCAGCTTCGAATCCTACGCCCCTCTACTAGGTGTCATTTTTTATTTATTTTTGGAGCGTAGGTAGACTCACATTGGATCCAGTTACGACCACTGTCTTCCCCCGT